CAAATTCAACAAGAAGAAAGAGCAGAGCAATCAGTCAGAGCTCAATCACAGCCTGAAACCGAGGTAAGACCTCATTGTGCTTGGGATGTATTTTTAAATTGCACTATGGATAAATTGCAAACACTGATTAAATCATTTCAAGCAGGCCAATTGAAAAAATTTTCTAAAAAGTAGTTGCAAATAACTTCTGATGCTTGGATTCTAAAAACAATTGAAGGTTGTGACATTGAATTCATACAAAGGCCTCAGCAAATTCAGAGGCCTTTCGCAATCAAATTAAACCAACAAGAAACCTCCATAATTGATGAGGAAGTTGATAAATTGTTACAGAAAGGAGTAATAGAATTGACGTCTCACTCTAAAAATGAGTATATCTCAACCATTTTCAATAAGCCCAAGAAAGGTGGGGGCTACAGATTGATATTCAACCTTGCTAATCTAAATAAAAATGTACAAAAAAGACATTTTAAGATGCAGACTCTTATGTCTGCTGTTAATCTTGTCACACAAGATTGCTATATGGCTTCCATTGACTGGAAGGACGCCTATTACTCTTTACCTGTAGCACCTGAATATAGCAAATACTTGCGGTTCATTTGGAAGAACAAACTTTTTCAATTCACCTGCTTACCAAATGGCTTATCAAGTGCCCCGCGAATTTTTACAAAAATTACCAAACCCTTGTTTTCGTATCTACGAATAAGGGGATATCTTAACTCGTCATACATATTCGCTCCGACGAAGGGCTAACGCTCGAAACGTCAGCTTTTGTAATCGTTACGGTGGCCAATTTACCACTTTTACTTTGTTGATATATCCAAATTATTTCGTTACTCCCACCGACGCAGCCCCAAACAGTTTCTTTCGAAACTATCAGCCTTTCGTCATACATAGACGATGCCATTGTTTTTGGGGACACTGTAGAAGAACGCAGGGATAACGTCATAGAAACAGTAAACAAGAGTTTGCAATTGGGTTTTGTAGTTCCCCCTAAAAAATCAGCTCTTGAACCATCTCAGGAAATTGTGTTTTTGGGGTTTCTCATTAATTCAAAAGACACGACGGTCTCCCTGACCCCTGAAAAGGCTGCTAAGCTCAAAACTTGCTGCAACAACATTTTAAATAAACATTCCGTATCTATAAGAGAAATTTCTCAGCTTATTGGCCAAATGGTAGCCAGTTTTCCTGCTGTAGAGAGAGCCAAAGTTTACTATCGCAGGCTTGACAATGAAAAATGTAGACAGCTGGAAAAATCAAAGGAAAATTATGATCAGATATTTGACATTCCTGTTTTCTGTAAAAATGATTTACAGTGGTGGATAGAAAATACTGAAAATGCAAAAAACCCAATATCTCATGGCCAGCCTGTATTAGTCCTTCAAAGTGATGCATCCAAAAGGGGATGGGGTGGTGTAAGACATGGAACATCTACCGGAGGTTTTTGGACTCATGATGAGCAGACAAATCACATTAATTATTTGGAAATTCTTGCAGCTCTCTATGCTTTAAAAGCACTTTATCCATTAGAAAGCAATACACACATTCTCCTTGAAATAGATAATACTACAGCTGTAGCATATGTTAACAATATGGGTGGAACTAAGACACTATGCAATGATGTAACCCGACAAATGTGGGAATTGTGTTTTTTAAAAAATATCTGGCTCACTGCTCGACATCTTCCTGGGTCTGATAAAACACTTGCTTATGCAGAAAGTAGGAAAGAACATGATAATACTGAATGGAAATTAAATACCCATATATTCAGAAAGCTTATCCAAATATGGCTAGAACCAAGTACTGATTTGTTTACTTCAAGAATTAACTATCATATTAAACCCTTTATTTCCTGGCGACCTGATCCCGAAGCAATATCATGTGATGCATTTACATGCACATGAGGAAAAAAATTTTATGCATTCCCTCCTTTCTCCTTACTATCCAAAGTCCTTGTGAAAATACAAGGCTAGGGCATTTTGATTGCTCCATGGTGGACTACACAACCATGGTTCGCAAAACTAACTAGAATGTTAATTGTTCTCCTCTTCTGCTCCCTAGATCAACATCAACTCTGATACTTCCTCACAAGCCAACTGTAGTACATCCACTGCTACCCAAAATTACTCTGGCAGCATTTCATGTATCAGGAAATCACTTGAAAAATACAGAATTTCTGAACAGTCAAAAGACATTATCATGTCCTCTTGGAGAGGGTCTACACAAAAACAGTACAATGCCCACAATATCGTTTTGTCGTCAGAGGAATATTAATGTCAGCAAGCCATCTGTAGGAGCTATTGTTGATTTTCTTACAACTCTTTATCACAGAAGTTTGAGTTACGGCGCAATAAACACTGCACGTTCAGCTTTATCATCATTTATCTATCTTGACACTCACATAGCAGGTCAACACCCTTTAGTGGTAAGACTCATGAAAGGATTCTTTAACAACAGATCATGCTTTCCCAAGACATCGGTTTCATGAGATAGACAGTGACAAGATAGACAGTTTATTTGAAAAACATTGCAACCGAAGGTTGAATTACGTATTCATTTACAAATTTAAGAAATATATAAAAATGGTAACATACTTAAAATATTAAAAATTAGGTTACATAAATAGAGTCAGCTTATACAAAGCGTGCGCAAATGATGAAAGATAAAACTATCATGGTACCTGTTCGTACGAACCACAGGTAAATTAAAAGCGCGCTTTTTCCTCAATTCCACCCTAGATACATTCCTGAGCGGCAGGAGCTTATGCAGCTTGTGATTTGGTACAAGAACGTTAGAAAAGAGCTTGTTGGCAATATTCTCGCGCCCCTCATGCAGCGAGATAAGCCCAGTGCACGATAGCGCCTCGTCATATTCTTTATGAGGGAATATTATACGTAATGCGCGCTTCTGGCATCTTTGTAAATCAACTGATAAATATTGAGGTAGGCTGCTGTGAAAGAGCGCGCATGCGTATTCCATAACAGATCAAATACATGTAAGATAGAATAAAACGAGCTCCTTAGACTTAACCTGGGCGCGCTTTAATTGACTTGGCGTAAGAAGTAAAGCCGCTTGTTGACTTTCTTTACTATCTCATCTACATGTGCGTTCCATTTGAGATCGACGGAGAAGGTGACACCTAACATCTTAGCTTTATGAACGTACTCTAACTCCTTACTACTGACCACAATTGGGTCAAAGTCAGGTGGGGATCTTGAAAATGAGATGCGTAGCTCCTTACATTTTCCCTCGTTCAACTGGAAACCGGTTATAGCTACCTGTCTACTTAGATCATCAACAATCCGCTGGAGATCACTGTTCTGGCTCTTTTGGACAACCTCAGATATTGTGGTGTCATCCACGTACTTCCACATATTGCAGTTTCCAGTAGGCGACAGATCGTCAATCATAATCACAAAGAGCCAAGGGCCGAGCTTTGTGCCCTGTGTCCCCTACATGGGATACAAATATAGTTTTACAATATCTAAGAGATCTGGACACATCTGATCTCAAGAATCTGACTCTGAAAACAGTAACCTTAACAGCTTTGTTGTCAGGCCAACGTTCACAAACACTCCATCTCTTAGACCCGAGAAATATGTCTGTGTCCCAGGACCTCTATAAATTTCGAATTGGTGACATTCTTAAACATAGCAGACCTGGACATCACCAAACTGAAATTGAATTACCAGCTTTCCCTCATAATGCAAGATTGTGCATAGTCACTATACTCAATGAATACCTATCCAAAACACAAGAGAATAGAAAGGACAAGTAGCAACTGTTTATTAGTTTTATTAAACCTTATAAAGCTGTTTCTAAAGCTACAATATCAAGGTGGGTTAAGTCTGTGCTAAAAGATGCTGGAATAGACATGTCTATATTTAGTCCACATAGCACTAGATCTGCCTCCACTTCTAAAGCTAGTAGGTCTTCTGTACCCTTGAGTACTATTTCGAAAACAGCAGGATGGTCACAAAGTTCTACATTTGCTACATATTACAAAAAGCCTCTCCATCACCCTGAAGAATTTGCATTATCATTACTGCAGTAACTGACCATAATCCTGACTGCTTATGGTTCTTAGCAGTAACGTTGTATTTCTGTTTGTAACCAAGACTTGTTCATATTGTTTTTTCTTGTGCTTTTGACCTTATTAAAAGGCTATACTTTATTTCATTTTTTTTTTACTTGCTGTGTACTCATGACTGCAAACTTTGAACATCTCACGTGATCCCGAATGGTATCGGATTGATGAGGTAGAATTCCCAATTTAAACAAGACTTACCTGTAAGTTGAAGTTTGATTGGAATTCTACCGAGCCAAGAAGATACTGAGGGATTACGTGCCCACCTCTTATGTCCCTCCCTAAATTTTACCACTGGAGTTTATTCGTCCACACTTTGAAGCATGGGTCTCGGTCACGTGCTCAATCTCACGTAATCCCTCAGTATATTCTTGGCTCGGTAGAATTCCAATCAAACTTCAACTTACAGGTAAGTCTTGTTTAATTTGGGAATTTTAGGACCTGGGTAGAGTTTTGTAAACTACTTAAGATAAACAGGGTTAGGGGTAGGATACGTTAATTTCCCACGCACGAGATTACTGTGTGATGGATGTCCTCCCCCGGGTGGGATGGGTGGGTGTTGGCCCTGAAAAGCCCCTATAGGGAGTGGGGTCAATTGACCTATGTACGTATGTAGGTATGCATGTAAGTCACGCGATTAGAAAGGAAAACCCTTTCTCAGGATCTCGTGCAGTACAGTTACTTGCATCCTGGAATTATAAGCTTGCATTCTGTCAAACACGCACACGAGAATCGGTTAAATTAAAACAGAGAGACGAGCCGGGCAATTTTTCAGTGCTGGACTCGCTATGCTTTAAAAATTCTTATTTATTTCCAATTGCACCATGAAAGACTGATGGCCGGCGATAAACATTTAATTTTTAACTTTTCATTCGTACATTAAGCGATGCTGTGTTTCTTTGCTTTCCTCATGCAATTGTAAACAAGTCTTCCCTGTTAACTGTTAGTAGGTGGTGGAAATCAATGTAGTGCCTCACAAGTATTAGGCTCAAGCCTGGACAAGAGACAAAGTGCTTTTTGCGTTATATAACATGCAGCGCCTGCCACGCAAATTTCCATTAACCAAACCCTGAAAGTATCATTAAGATTTTGACGGAGTAGAGGCAATCAAAAATTTCATTAACGAAACAGTGTGATTCAGATGTTTTGATAATGGCTTGTAATTACTGACAGGGTCCTGGTGAGCCAATTTTCTTTTTTGAATTCTAAAGGGAAAAATAGTTCACTTTTTAAAATGTTTCGTAAATAGAGTTGTCCTTGTTTCTCGCTTAGAATATTGGGCATCTAGTCAAAAGAAACTCGGTTAATTTAGCCCATGAAAACTCAGCTCAGTCTAGATATACTCTTTGAAAAGGAGTATGGGTACAACCAGAATTTCAGCCTTAGTAATTGTTAATAGAGTATGCAAGCATTCTTAGATCGCAAAATTAAAAGAAAATTTCACTCGGAATATTTTCTGTGAAGAATTGAAATCTTTATTCAGACAACCTGACGGTTTTCATTGAAAATGAGTCAGAAGGTTTTGTGAATTGATTGACTTAAGAAACTTGCCCCTGGTGTATACGTGTAAAATCCTGCCAGTGGAGTTGCATTATGTTCTACTTCACTTTATCAGTGCCAAGCCGATGATGGAGCAGGCGGCCAAGAAGATCACGCCGAAGGAGACTTTAGAACTGCCATTACATTCGTCTGAGCTACAGCACGCGATGGCGCACTTTTTCATCGGTTTTTCATTTTCATCTTTCAGCTCGTTGTCTTCACATTTCTTTTTAAGATCGTCACAGGCTTGCTTTGTCATGCAAGTGTTGGTGACGTAGCTGTCGTCATCACCCTCCTTCTGGCCCCAGGTCCTCATGCACGTATCCATACCTGCGACACAGGTGTCTGTGTATTTTGTTTTGTTTCCTTCAAGTATTTCCTTGGTGCAGTCGGCCTCTTTACCAGGGCAATTATAACACCTAAGGCCATAACCTGTAAAAGGAAAGTAGAACAAACAGTTTTGTCTTTGGCTGTTTCCACTTTTAATTGAATAAGAGACAAATGGGTCGCCATCAAAATGTTTTGAGACATTTAAGTGAGGAGCCGAAAGTGAATGGGCTGAAAATTTGAAAATTTAAAAGTCACGGATCAATGTCTACAACAAATGCTGCTTTTGTTAGTCGAACGTCTTTTTGAGCTGAGTGGCACACGATAATTTTCTGATGAGGGGGGTGGGGGGAGTTTGAACGTAACTGAAAAGCAATACTTGAACGATGGCTCGACAATGTCATTTTTCCGAGGGTCGTTCGAATTGTGATCCTGAGGGTTACGCGTATGGACAAAAGAAACGATTTAGAAGATAGCTTGCAAGTCGATTTCAGCGGATGAGAATGGCGCTTGTATACAATCAGCGCTAAATTTTCGTCCGATTTCGTTTGATATGCTTCTTCGTGGAAGGATTACATTTCTTTACGCGCAATGAATTGAGTTTTATAATTGATTAATCTTATATGCTAAACACACCTCGGCGGTGAAGAAGCTAATTAAAGTCATTCATATCTCCGTCGTTCCATTTAAAATTGTGTACAGCATTCCAAAAATAAACTACAGGTGACTCAGCTGCAATCCCTCACAAACCACCGAGCCGCAAAAATAACTTTCTATACTAGTTTTTATCATGAAACACGCGAGGTCATTCCTTCCGTTTCGCTAATAATTGATACCGAAAATCAGTATCAATTAGCCAAAAATCTCGATTCTTAAGTCTTTGCCTTCGACGAAAAAATAATTGCTTGAAATGCGCGAACCGCACTTCGTCGCTATTCAGTGTGTGTGGACACTGAAAGTCTGGCTAACTTTTAAAACAAAGTTTACCCTGGGTTTGTCAGTTGTGTTTATTACCATAGTTACCGGTAACCATACAACACAAAAATTAATGTTTTCCTGATAATTAAACCCAGGTGAAAGATTTTCCAGTCTGAGCTCGAGGAGTGAAGGTTTTATTTCTCATCCTTTATGATGCTAGTGTGAACATCTCTATTGAAATCAGACTTTTGCGCATTCGACAGCCTTTTCTTCGTGGGTCCGTAAAACTTCAATTACCGTCATACATACAAATTTGGCCTGCTTCTGAATAACTCTTTCACAATTCCTAAACTAAAGAGGTTCAATTCTGATCTCTACCACATCCATCCTCAACCGACCGTTTTAAGTTAACTCTTTTTCAGTCGCGGGTATCTTGCTACGCTAAATTACAACTATTATGACATAAAAAAAAACCATCTCAGACAGGGGACAAAATTGTACGCACGAAAATCAGTTCACAGGAGTGCACCACTTCGACCGATACAGGTTTTCAAGCTCAAAGCTTAAACCAATTGTGCTTTAAAATTGAAATTCTATTTAAACCAAAAGTCATACCATTCACTCACCGGTGCTCAAAACAGCCAACAGAACTAAAAGCGAAAAACTGTTCATCTTGTTCGGCTTAGGGCTCTTGTTGCGTTCAACAGTCGTAGTCACTTACCCCTTCGAAGAGCGGCAACCTTAATTAAACGTTTCGTTCTTCACTCCCTTTACATATTTGGCATGAGCCAATACGATTTGAGAAAATTTGCAAGCAAATAGGCGCGGTTTTGCCGAAGGGAAACAGAAAACAGAAAAAAAAACAAATATAAAAAATTGATGTTTGCGCCCGGCGCGGAATTCTCCCAGAGTTCCTCGTGCGCGACGGACTCCTCGTAGTCTAAATGATATCTCGTCTCGGAAGTAACCATGAGTCGTTGTCAGCCTTCACAGTTTAGGTCGTGTGCCATGACTTCAGCATTTTTCTTGTGCGATTACTCAGCTACACAAGTTACTCGTCTATCATGAAAGAATTGGTTCTCGCTTAGCGCGCGTTTATCGATTTATGGATGCATGTGGGAAGTTTTTGTTTTTTTTGCTCAACGTGCAACCGAGAGCAACTCTAGCTTTTTGAGTCGGTTCAATTTTCTTTCTCTTATTTTGCGACACAGCAGTTGTTTCGTATGTATTCCGTTGCAAGTTTGCGCGGTTAACTGACGCGCGGCAGGTCAGACGTGATCGACGTTTGACCGCTGTTAAAAATTGTGCCGTAAAATCACATATCAATACATTGATATCACCCTTAACTGTGGTCCGAAATGTGCAAACCTGTGCTAAAGGGGAGAACCTTACACGTAAAAAAAAAAAAAGTATAAAGGCTAGACAAGACAGAAAAGGAGAAACTATTTTTAAGACCTCACAAAGCCTTTTAAGACCGGGATGTACTCAGTAGGCAATAAAGCCTTAGGAAAAACCCCATTTGTGTGTCTTCTTAAAAAGAGGCAATTATATTCACAAACATTTCCCACATATCACCAGGCGAGATATTTCCGTGACCTCTTCCCTCGCCACGGCGAGTCAAGTTGAAACTGAACTGAAACTCTGTATTCGCACTATTTCAGGCGTTCGCTATTTCCAGGCGTTCAGCTGCGTGGAACGCGCAAATAGCCTTTGTCATTTATTCACAGAACTGAGGTTTATTTTTGAGAGAAGGAGAAACAGTTTGCGACATGTCTCGTCCATGATCTGTCTCCGAATCTCGTGACTGGACTGATTGACTTAAAAACGGATTATTTTGTGTACTTTGTCTTTTCCTTTTTTTTTTTTAGGGCCGTGTGAACTGCACCTTCAAAATAACATGATATAGTGCAGTTCTTTCAACTGAGTAGTTTTGTTTTGTTTTTAAACTATTTTGATTACTATCCAGCGGCGCTAAGGAGGATTGAATCAATCATTCCAGGACGAAACGGAAAGACTACCTACTTCCTTTGTTACATAACAACATGACACATCAGCGCATGTTGGGGTGATTAGTTTGCCGTAGGTATCAAAACCGCTATAATTAATCTTGATTTGAAACATCAGTTGTTGACTAATCTTCGTATTCTCACAGTAAAGAGAAGTCATTTGCGAATTTCAAGCCCTGGCTGATTGCTTTATTTCCATCTATAGGTGGTTGGGATACTTTTGTAAACAAACTTAAGGAGACCGATGTTAGTTGACAAGAGAATTTGGGAATAAAACATTTGGAGACTAAAACAGATCTGATTGGGACGATAAGAACTGTTTTAGTTTCATCGACCTCACATTTATGAGGTTTCCAAGCAAAGAATGTTGGCTGTTTACAGACCCTTTTATTTTCTCCCGTCTCAATTTGCGCTTCCTGCTCCAAAACAAAGAAACAAACAAAAATTCTTCAACTCGGTGGCCTGGTTAATCTTTATCGACCATTACTGACTTGATTTCAGAGTAAACTTCATTAAAATAACCTTTTGATGTTTTTTCTTTGAGTTACAAAACATTTTTACGCCAAGATTTCGAGTTGCACAGCCCCATACTTCATTATAGGTGCAGTTCTTGTATAAAGAAAATAAAAAGTGGCTAAAATCTAAATATATTGCCTTTGTGACCACTGCTTTGTTTTAAAATAGTTTGGTGTTAAAACCTGCTTGTCTCACTTTCCCACTTAACGTTTATGAATGATTATCGCAGAAAATCTCTAATATGAAAACATTTGGACAAAAACCCCCATACATAAATTTTACAACGTTTAGATAAATGAATGCAAGAGACCAATTTATAATCTCTTGATGAATAAATAAAAAGGGAACGAAGCAAGGTAAATGGATCCCGTCACCTTCCACAGAACACTGGCCTTAAAAGGTTTGTTTAAACTTCCCTTTGATTTAGAGGACATTTGAAGCTGTATGCTTTGATACATGCATGTTTTATTTACTATGTTGTTTATGCTCAAGTTAGTCGTGTAGAAAAGCGAGGAAAGAGAAATTGTTAAGGAGATGATTTGAAGAAATCGTGATTGTAGTTGTGTTGGCTTTACATGTGTCGCCTATCTATTTCATTGGGGAATTTATGGTAATACTCATAAGATTATACTTCTAATAACACTGTGAATGAATTTCACTGAGAAAAAAACATATCGGCATACTGCATAAAGAATTGAGACTCATTCTGATCAATTTTTGATACAAATGCCCTTTCATAACTGGCCAGAACTGATTGTCTGAGCAAGAAGGAAGATTATACAGTTTCTTTAGCTTGATAAAGTTCGCCAAAATTGCTGCAGGTTAATGGCTGCTTTTATTCATTTCTTTCAGTTTTATTTCGGCAATTTTCTGTGCATATCAGTACTTAATTCATTGATAAAAATGCCAGTTTTATGTCTTGTGACGAGCGTGCGGGGACTGGGAAAAAATCCTGAGTCCGCCTGAGGAATCGAATCTCTACCACTGAGCCACAAAATCTCCATGGTGAGCTACGCCATATGTAACACACATCCTTCAAAACAATTCTGAGTCATGGGGATTCAGAATTTTTACCATGTCCCACGCTTGTGAAAAGACGAAAACAAAAATCTTTCTCAATTTCATAAGCGAGCTAAGAAAACTCTTTTTCTTATTTCCTTAGTTTATCATTTTCTATTGACTATTAATATTTCAATGTCTGTATCTTGGTTACCATTTCTTTTCGTCTGCAGAGCTTTTTCCAGTTCTGATCCAAGATCTCATTTCCTGTTAACTATTAGCCGTTAAACGGCCAAAAAATTGATAAATTGCAACTTCAATTCCCAAAAAAAAGTTTGATTGTAAATAAAATTTCTGGGGACAGCAACGGAAAGATATCAATCGCTGTAAAATGGCCAAAATTTTAACCGGTCGCCGCAAAAGCTATCACCCTATGGGGACCTCCTGTTGACACTTGTGGTACTATTTCATTAGAGCCATCCTCACCGACGGCTACATTGTTAGAGTTGGAATATAAACAAAGAGATATAAATAGAAAAACCAAAGAAATTGCATTTCGAATCCAATGTGGTTTTATCAATGACAATTATCACACTCTAAAAAATAAGGATCTAATTTTTTACCGTAACCATGGTAGATGTTGTTTAGAGTTAACCAGCTGTCAAAACACACTTTGTGGCAATGAAACATTTGAAAAAATTAATCAACATTGTTTTTCTCTAGTTTGTTTATTTGTTTGTGCTCAAGCTTTACCAGTTTAATTAGTTCCAATTTTTTTTCTCTTCTCTCGTCGTCGGAGGAGAAATTTTTTGTTTCAGTATAAAAACAGACCGTAGAGATGAAAATTCTGCAATTGAATCACATATCGCCAGATACTCTTAGTAGCTCCCAACTAAAACTCTTTTAAAAGATTTGTGATTTTGTCAAAACATATCTAAACTTATTTTTTGATTTTCAGGATTATAATTCTAAATCGTAAGCTCTCATGGATTTCAGTTTTCATTAAGAAGTAAAAAGGCAATAAAATTACAATTACTTCAATCAGAGTAACAGTGCTTTGAAGCTGTGCGCATGTTATCCAAATCAGTTAAAATCCCACATCACCAACAAACACTATAAATATAACAATCAAATTGTACTCTTTGTTATTTATGATACACGTTTTCGAACAGTTCTATCGAAAAGGCATTGTCCAAGATTTAGTGAAAAAAAAACTAGTGGAAAAAAGTAACCTTAGAGATGCAAAAAATGTCCGCATCTCAAGCGATCGAGTTGTTCCGGTCAAGGATCTTCAAAAGCGCTTGAAAACAATCCTGAAAAACGGTAGCAGTTCATAGCCAAACAAAATATGACAAGTGAAATAAGAAATTTCTGAAACTTGACTGATACTATCAGAATGGAAAATTATATCCTCGCGGACGAACTGCCAATTATCCAGCGAGGATAAATTTCAGCGTTGACAGGTCTTTAACCCTGTGGTGCTTTTTAAATACTGGTTAGTCGCTACTAACGTCTAAGCTTCGCCACCTTACATCAAAGGCAAGGTAAAGTTTTCAGTTTTTTCTAAATGTGATCTCCTTAAAGGAAGTGTATCAAACAGAATATTTCACGTGAAACAGAAACACATCAAGAGAAGCATAAAGCCCATTTATCAGAAAGAGTGGTTTGCCAGTCAATCGCACAACGGCAACTACGTGCTGTGACTACATGATTACGCATCTTGAGGCCATGACGGACCGACGGGGAAAGTAAACTAAACAAATCACAATCATCGTCATCATCACTCATTGCGATAATAAAATTTATTACACGACTCGGGCAGTCAGAAGGCCAATAACTAAAATTGACCAATCAAAATGCTCTATTGCCGGTCCAATATTCTCTAAGTATTGGACCGGGCACTGTCCCGAATTGTCCCGAATGATACCGCACTTATGTCCCTTTAAACTTTAGTCGTATAATAAATCTCTTATTAACCAAGCTTGCTCGGGACCGTACTGGAAGAATATTGGCCTCGGTCTTTTTTGTACGGACATCGCTGCGCTCGGTCCGTACTGTTAAGACCTCGGGCCCATATTCTCCCAGTAGGGTCCTCGCGCTTGGTTAATAAGATATATTTATAGACGTTCAACCGCATGGTAGGTTGTGGAGACCTTCAAGAAACCATTAGGCTTACAGGGTCGTCTTCCTCGGCGGTCATTGCTTGACATATTGTTATGGATCATTTCATCAAAAATCCAATCATCTTTTTCTTAAATGTAGAGAAGCTAGTCAAAGAAATGATCAATATTGGGCAAGAATTCCAAATTTTAGGACCTGGGTTGAGTGTTGTAAACTGCTTAAGATTAATGAATAAAGGGGGTAACGTTCTAAAGAAACTATGGTGCTGCGGTGGAGGGGGTAACTAGGTAATTCGGTTTTATCAGTTGAGTTGGTAATGTCAGTCGGCCGCCGTAAAGTATAAGCAACGGAGAATTATGTAGTCGATAACAATCACCTATTTTTATGTTATAACTGTGAATTTGACTACTTGTACCATAAAATAATCACAGACGATAACTGTATATCGGTTACTTTTCTGGAGCGGCTGCGAATGAGAATTCAGATCTAGGTGACAAAGGCAACAAGTGATATTTCATTTGTAGTGGCAGACGTGAAACTGAGCAGAGCCATCTTACACGCCGGATTTTTTTTTTTTTTTCGTGGGTTTAGTCACGCGACTAGAGAGAGGTTAACTTTTTCTAGATCTTGTGCAGTATAATGGCTTGCGTCAGGCTAGATTATAAGCTCGCATTCTCTCTCACAAGAGAACGGGAGTCATTGAAATTAAAACAGAGAGACGACCAGGGTATTTTTCAGTGCTGCAGATGCTACATTTAAAAAATTCTGATTTATTTCCAGTTGCACCATGAAAGACAATGGTCGGTTAAACAATTAACTATTGACCGGAATTCGTTGAAAAGAAGGGTTTATATTTCGTTTGGACTCAAAGCGACAGCAATCGCAGTCAATTTTTCCCTCTCAAACGGCTGACAAATTTTTCAGTTTTTGCTATGTTTTTAATGACTTTCCCGCGCAATCAAGATATCTGCGTTATTAACCAAACGTGAGGTCATGATGGCTGGATATAAGCCGAGTTCTTTTTTCGCATTTTTATGGACCAAGACGAAGTCCATAAAAATGCGAAAAAAGGTACGTGGCTAATATCATCCAGCCATCTTGACCGAACAAGCTTGGTTAATAAAAGATTTCTCATATTCCCAAAAGAATTCGCTTCATTAAGAATTTAGATTGACTTGTTTACTTTGAGAGCTGGGACAGAAAGTTAGTCGTTTCTGTTTCCTTTTTTTCTACTATCTTCAGCCACTTTTTGCGTTTCCACCTGCGGAAATTGTCCAAGAATTACGAACTTAGTTCTAATTCAATTATTTCATGCGCGGGATCAATGCAGGCAATCCCGAGCGAGCAAGATGGGCCCATCTTGCCCGCTTGGGTAGCCAATTAGAACACAGGATTCGCTTCATCTTGCCCGCCGGCGCTGCGAGCGATGAAGTAATATATATTAGTGCCTCTATCCAGCTCGTTCCCTGCTGTAAACAGGTCTTCCCTGCCTGTTTCCCGTTAGTAGGTGGTGTAGTGCCTAACAAACACTCGTCTAAGGCTTGAATGGAGACCAGTCAGCGGCTGCCACGCAAATTTCCGTTGACCGAACAGTCTAAATAAGATTTGACAGAGTAAAGGCAATCAAAAAATCCATTAAATTTTATTAAAAATTCCATTAACGAAACATTGGGATTCACCGGCAAGTTCTAATAATTATAGGTTATTTCACGGTTGTTGAACGTATGCTTGTCCAAAAGGGACAATATATCAAGATGTATTAATTTACATCAAGTTTTATATATCTATGTCAAGATTAATAAACACATATCAAGGTTTGCATACACGTAAAACAAGATTTCAATATACATATCGAGATTTACGTATACGCATCAAGATCCGCTTGCAAGTACATCAAGTCTAATAAATATTGATCAAGTTCCTCTATCACGGATCGACAATCAAATATTATATCGAAGTTCGCGTACCGACATCAAGATTCGCATTTCTACATCAAGATTCGCATATATACATCAAGATCCTCATATTTACATCAAGATTTATACGTCGAGATTGTGATAGGCTTGTATGATGTCATGCAAGTGAAAAGTTTGCCTGGTCACTTAGCACGATATTAGCGTAGGCGTAAACATAACAATCGCGGCTGATAATGCTAAGAGAAATGCACGGTGAAATGTCTCATCTCGAGCACTTTTTCGAGGAATTTCTGAGAACTCTCCACGAAGAAACTGAAGGGCTCAAAGGTCAGGAGTGTGAGTCAAATCGTGCGAATTCCCTCCTCTATCGTCTTCGTGACTTTGAAATAACTCTTGGTTTGATCTCAAGCCGACTTGCGTCACTTGGTTCCTCAAATCAGTTTCTTGAAGACATCGACGAACTTACAAGGGCCCTACCCTGTGTTCGTTACAGGCAAGCTATTTGTCCAGGTACAATGATGAAAGTGTCACAGAGCCTGGTAATGAAGCTCTTTTTCAGCTTGACTGCCCTGTTACACGGGTCTGACAGGTCGGCCACAGTATAAAGCCGACGAAGGTACAACGGCTGCGGAAAGAGTCTTTCAAGTGGCTGGAGACATCGTAACAATTCTTGGAGTTTCTTCAAAGACATTGATTTACGTACAGTAGAGAAAGAAAGGCAAGAACCAGGTTGGAGGTCGTGCGAGGAGGTGCGGACAGCACCAACCAATCGAGAGGAGTGGAAAAGCACTGTGAAGGCCTTATATGCCACGAGGCATGAAAAGGATTGATGATGATGAATCTTGACATAGATTTATAAAACTTGATGTAAATAAGTACATCTTGATATATTGTCCCTTTTGGACAAGCATATGAGCGCGTACGATTTTTATTCACAAGTTGTGTAAAAATCGCACCAGCGAACTAAGCGTGAAATAACTTATTTATCATATAGATACCGAGATTCATAAGCGAACAGAACTCAGAGATAAAAATATATTTATTTCCTTTCAAAGGAAAGCAACGCGCGGTCAAGCCGCCGTTCAGGAGTTGCACTGAAATGGCTTCCTTGTAAAATACTTCTTTACATCTAAATACACCACCAGGTTTAGTATTTATTAATTTCGAATGCGAGTATCATATCGCAAAGCTAAAAGAAAATTTTACTCGGAATATTTTCTGTGCAGAATTTAAATCTTTATTCAGACAACCTGACGGTTTTCAATAGAAATGAGTGCAAAATTTTTGTGAATTGATTGACTAAAGAAACTTGTTCCTGGTGTATACGTGTAAAATGCTGCCAGTGGAGTTGCATTGTCTTCTACTTCACTTTATCAGTGCCAGGCCGAAGATGGAGCAGGCTGCCATCAAGATCATGCCGAGGGAAACTTTAGAACTGCCATTACATTCGTCTGAGCTACAGCAGGCGATGGCACACTTCTTTAATTTTTGGTCATTTTCATCTCTCAGCTCATTGTCTTCACATTTCTTTTTTACTTCATCACAGGATTGCTTTGTCGAGCAAGTGTTCGTAACGGAGATGTCATCACCCTCCATCTGGCCCCACATCCTCATGCACGTATCCGCACCTGTAGTACAGGTCACTGTGTATTTTGTTTTGTTTCCTTCAAGTATTTCCTTGGTGCAGTCGGCCTCTTTACCAGAGCATTGATAACACCTAAGGCCATAAGCTGTAAAAGGAAAGTAGAGCAAACAGTTTTGTCATTGGCCGTTTCCACTTTAAAATGAATAGGAAACAAATGGATTGCCATCAAATGTTTGGAGACATTTTAATGGGGAGGGAAGTAAATGAGCTGATAATTTAAAAGGTCAAAAGTTACAAATCAATGTCTACAACAGATACCGGTTTCCTAGGTTTTAAATCTCTTTGTGAGCTTAAAAAATTTGCTCTGACTGACACATGATAATTTTCTGATGGGAGAGGACGGGGGTTGAACTGAAACAACAATGAACGATAGCACGACAATGATTCATTTCCAAGAGTTGTTCTACCTGTTATGTTGGGGTTAAGCGTATGGACGAAAAACCAATTAAGAAGACAGTTTGTGAATCAATTTCAGCGGATAAGAATGGCACTGGTATACATTTTCATTTGCCTATCGAGTTCTATGATTGAGTAGTCTTTTGTGCTAAATACACCGCGATGGTGAAGAAGCAAACAATTCATATTCCGTCGTGCACAGCATTCGAAAATAATCTACAGGTAACTCAGTCGGAATTCCTTACGCACCACCTAGCCGTAACTGGTGTACAATTGCTCTTGAGAATATTACAAGATATTTGTGCATGATAAGCTAAAACAAGGTATAATAGAA